CTGCACACATTCAGAGAGAGAGAGAGAGAGAGAGAGAGAGAGAGAGAGAGAGAGAGAGAGGTGAATCAGAGTCACACTAATAAAAACAACAAGCATTTAAATACAGTTGCATTATGGGCAAAATCAGATAAGGTCAAATAGGAGGAGAGAACTCACTGGTTGAAAAAAGAAGAGGATTGCTAGTAACTTGCCAACATGACATCTGTATTACTGAAATTCCCACCCTTCAATAAAAAAAGCCAATCAACTTTTACACTACACCAACCATAATCACAATCATAGCTTTTAAAGTATTTTTAACTAAGGCACTACTCGTTCATTTATAAAGCCAAAAAACACACAACATATCACTACATATCATTTATCATGAAAAGTCTTGAAGTATCATTATTTTCTATTTTTGCCATGTAATCTAATACTATCTAACACCAAGATATTAATGATTTTGCACCATCTGCGTAACTACTGAAGTTAGCTCCATATTAAAGTACAAAGAAAATGAAAAAGCCCAAGTGTAGATCCTTGGGGCACACCACAGAGAATGTTCTGCCTTTCAGACACAGGCATATTGTCATCAAGGTAAATGAAGTATGTTATTAAAATAAATAAAATGTTTACAGAAAGCTTCACTCATCTTTCCTGGCCTACACTCTCAAAAAAGATGGTTCATCAAGGGTTCTTTGATGCTATGTAGAACCATTTTTGAAAAGGTTCAATATAGAACCTTATACAACACATTCTCAATCAATATGAAGAACCATTTCACCATGCAGAGAACCATTTAATCATGCAAATAGTTCTTTGAGTGTTCATGGATCTATGTAGAACCACTGTCTTTACTAAAGAACCCTTGAAGAACCATCTTTCAGAGTGATTTTGGAGTGCACTGTGAACAAACAAACACTGTTGGATCGGTATTTAGTCCAAAATTATTACCTATTTTACGGTTTTAGTGGTTTAATATCATTCTGAAAGCAGACTCTCGTTTTTTAGGGTATTAGGGATCATCCAGAAAGTCACCTAACTGCTGCACAGTTTTAAGAAGTTTTAATTTGTGAATTCTCTCTCTCTCTGTGCACTAGGACAACGTGAGCCAGTGTGTCCACACGCAGGAGGAGCAGCCAAGCATGCTCACTCAGCTCATGTGGCACTTTGCAGCTTTGACACCTTGTGTGCACACACAGGGAGAGAGAAAGGAAGAAAGCGAAGGCGAGAAAGCGAGAGATGGTGTTTTGTGCGTGTGAGTCAGACGGAAACAAATAGGATCAAATGTGCGACGTACTGGGCTGGAAGAAAACCGTCCCGAAGACGTGGCATGGGCAGCGTCGTGTGTGCAATGAATTACAATGAGACTGAATTCAGATATTCACAGATTAGGGCCGGGCGGCTGCAGAAAGTCAACCCTTTTCGGTCCGTTCTTTAAAGTACAGGTCAAGCCTGATGCTGCAGCGAGTACACAGATGGCAGTCATGAATAGTTTAGCGACAGAGCTGAGGATGAGTGAGGAGAAAGGAGAGGAAGGGAGAGGAAAAGAGGATGAGAGGAGAGGAAAAGGGAATTGAAGGGAGGGGACCTGGTTTAAGCTGCTGCCACTCCAGTTGAGGAGATGAGAGAGACAGAGTGTGTGAGGGAGAGAGAAAAGAAGACAGAGAGAGAAGGGGAATCCACTGAATAATGAGTCCATTCATCAGGGCAGGCAGAAGAATAGGGTGGACAGAGTTGCTATCAGTGTGGATTTAAAGCCTCGGGTCCACGGGGCTGCTCCCTGATCGCAGGGGGCCGCTTCAATCTTCCATTTATCTGCTTACTCTTAATCAAGCGGGGCCTTCCTCGGCTTCCCCTCTTTCACATGCAAAGCGATACATTCGCATCTAGTCAACTTGACTTGTTAAGGCTTGATTGATCAAAACCCACTCGGCCCTGAGACGCGCATCTGTTTGCAAATAGCTGCGACGGGCTTGGAGCTCTGGACCCTGCGTCGTGTGGCCGGTCCCAGAGCAGAGGCTGGATTTAGCTTGACAGACACACACACAAAGTGAGGAGGAGAAAGGAGGGACGTATTCGGATCATTGCACTGATCCGTATTGGGATTCAGCTGGGAGAATGGAGAATGGAGACCGCTCTCCATTTTCTTTCTCGCTCTCCGTTTCACCGTCTCGTCCCTTCTCTTTATCAGCTCATACCAGCCCGGCCCTGATCCTCTAAGGTCACGTCTAGACACTGCTGCCCCCCAAGGCCTTCAGGCCTTCCGCTGCAGCCTGCATCTGGATGCCTCCTGCACAGGTTTTGGCTGAAACTTTGTTCACGGTCAAACAAAAATTCTGATGGTTTCCAATAGATATAATAAAAGCTTGTATCTCCATTTTTGTAGTTTTTCAGTTTTTTACATAATTTGAAAATCCCTGTTCCCCTTTTCATTGTGCGTAAATTTCATGATGAACGGACCAAAAGAAACGGCCCAAAATTACTTGGAAAAAAGTCTGGTTCCATTGACTTACATTAAAAGTGAAGTCATTTTTTTCCTACTCCTGTAAAAGAGGTTTTGTTCCAATAACAGCAATACAGATATATCGCTGCTGTTGGAACAAAACCTCGTATCCCCATTTTTGTCGTTTTCAGTTTTTGACATAATTTGAAAATACCTTTTGGTCTTTACATTGTGTGCAAATTTCATGATGAACGGACCAAAAGAAATGGCCCAAAATTACATGGGAAATATTCTGGTTCCATTGACTTACATTAAAGTAAATTAGGTTTTTTCCTTCTCCTGTAAAGTTACCATTTTGGAGATACGAGGTTTTGTTCCCACCTCATATACATATATAAAGAGTTCTTCAGACTGATGGACAATGTGTTGTATGTTTCTATACAGCACCTTTTAGAAAAGGGTTCTATATAGCACCAAAAAGGGTTCTACTATTCTTACAAACTTGACTTTGTAACAATAGACAAACCATTTTTGGTGTTATATAGAATCTTTTGCAAAAGAGTCTAAATGGCACCATGTTCAGCTCATTCTCCATCAATCTGAAGAACCCTTTCACGATGCAAAGAACCTTTTAATCATATAACGGGCTCTTTGAGTGTTTATAGTTTTTAATAGAACTATTTTCTTTACTAAAGAACCCTTGAAAAAACATCATTTTAAGTGTGTATAATGTTCCACGCAAGTTACGAAGTTTTGGGTTCTGCACACAAACACTGCCCTGTTGGTCCAGTGGAATTGTGCATACATGGCAGAATCCCAAATGGCTATTTGTTAGACATATTATGCACTGTTTGGGTGCAGAAACCAGTATTTTAGTGCTCTACGTAGGGAGCAGGGAGCATTTGAGATTCAGCCCCAACATGGGAAAAGGGACGTACAGTATCTATAGCTTCGTGCTAACCTAAGATTTTAAATCACATAGAGGCGCTAATGGAAATTAGCATTTTTTTGGGGTGGTAGTAATTTGCTGAGCAAACAGTACTTTAAAGTGTAGATGTTTGCATTAAACACTGCTATATTGGTTCAGAGAACAACCAATTAAAATAACCAATAGGCGGGGCTTATCTTTAGAAACGTCTCTCTGTTCCTCAGTGCTGCTAATGTGGATGCAGCGCATTACGTCTCTGGTGTTGTTAATTTTTCAGGAAATTCTTGGTTTCTCAGAAAGCTGCCTGGAAAACTAGCAGCTTCTAAAGCAGCGTCTTCTTTGACTGCCTGCTTGTTAGCTGGCAAAGTAATGTAAGTAGACTTGTAAGACTGCCAGCTATTAAACATGAGTGACGGCAGCTTCTTTACTAAAGCTGTGTTTACATGTTGGAACTGAAGACGTACCTCTTGCAACGATGGCGGTGCGAAGCCACCAAACTTTGCCGTGGTCAGGATCTCTGCACCTAAATCACAGCTGATTAAATTTTAAGCCTATTGCGGTAGTACATGCACATGGTGCGCTCATGGCACCAGCTTATATCCAATGTTTTTGAGATGAACTAGTAATAAAAGTAATGGTAATATTATGCTTTCCGCATGCTGAATTATGAACACATCAAAGTACACATGGGCCTCTATATTTGACAGACCTTATAGTATATCTCTCATTTCAACTTACTCTGCTTAACCAGTCACATTCATCCCTGCCTGTTGGCTGGTAACCAATTATGTCTGTTCTGCCTCGAAGGCTGCGGTGCCTTCAGAGTCGTTTTGAGTAGCGATTTCACACACAAGCAAGTTAAACTGTTCATAAAATGAGTGCAATATACAGTGACTGGTGGCTAAAAGTTCTTGTCCTCTTTTGATGGTTTATGGTTGCTTGGCAACAATAACATACTCAAAAAGAACTGCATTTAGAGTTAGAGTCTGCATTAGAGTCTGCTGTTGTCTGCTGTTTTATGAAAACAATAAGCCACTTGAGGCCGTGCTTTACAGTTATTTTATCACCGTCACCCTCACCTGTGATAAAATCACTGTAACTCACAGCCTCAAGTGGCTAATTGCCTTATTTTAGAACAGCATTCCAAACTTTAGACTGTGTTTACTCTGTATTTGAAATATTGCACAAAAAAGTCAACAGTGCCTGACTGTCCTTTCACTCTGGTCGTTGTCTGTGGCTCTTCCTCTTTCCATAATAAGCTTGTCTCTTTTCTCCTGGCCTGCCACCAGGTTGTGTATGTGTGCGTCTACGTGTGTGTGTGTGTGTGTGTGTTGGGGGGGCTTTCTGTCAGGGAATCAGGAGAACAAAAGGTGCAGTGGAGTGAGAGATTGAGGGAGGAAGCACAGGCGGGTTGGGGGGGGGCACAAAGGCGTAAGCCTAAATCCTCCTGCCTGATAGCCTTATCTGATTCCACTCCAGCGGCTGACGGCTTTTTTTTTCCCACCCAGGGCTTCTCGGCGCACAGGTTGGGCCCTTTGGTGTGAAGCCTAGCAGAAAATGTTAATCAAGAGTAGAAGTACAAGGAGAGGGAGAGAGGGAGTAAGAGAGAGAGAGAGAGAGAGAGAGAGAGAGAGGGAGAGAGAG